GTTAGAGGAGGTACATACTGAGAATTTGAGACTGGAAATTCAAACGGGTAAGGCTTGGACTTGTTTGGTGAGAAGGTTGGGTAGAAATGAACAAGCTATTTAGAGTGGGCTGGACAGGCAAGACAACAGTGCAAAGTGCTGCAGTGGGGGAAAGTCCCAGCCCAATGAACAGCACACCTCTTTTTATGAAGCTCAGGGTAAAATTTGCTTTCTGGGCTGCATACACACATTGCTGGCTCATACCTGATTTTTCATCCACCAGTATACCTAGGTCCTTCTCTGCAGGGCTGCTCTCAATCCATTCACCACCCAGCCTGTATTGAAAATGATGATTGCTCCAATTCAGGTGTGTGACCTTTCACTTGACCTTTCTGAACTTCAGGAGGGTCAAACTGGCCTACTTCTCAAGCCTGTGAAGGTATCTCTTCCCTCAAGTGTGTGTCAGATCAGCAGTGATGCCTTGTGAGATAAAAAATGAGGCTCTTCAACTTCAGACCATTAGAACTCATTATAGACTTAAAGAGCCTACTTGCTATTGTCAGAATTGGGATTTAAAGATATAGCATAAACATAATAAGCAATAACTTGCATATACACTGAAAAGATGCTATTTTTATATACATACCTAAACTGTGCCTATGTACTACCCAGTAAGCATCCTTTGTCAGGCTGAAACAGCCTATGTAAAAATGCTGAAAGTCACATGAGAAGCAAAAGGATTACTGGAAATAAAAGAAAGATAATTGGCTAAACATACCCCTGAGGCCCGCACCATAAGCATCACTATTTTATTGGATAAGTAAAATTCCGAACCTTGCTCATTTTGAGCTACTTGACAAACTAGCTGCAGTTCTAGCTGATAATGACTGCCTTTGAAAATAATGGTTTTGATATGGATTCTCTCCTGCAGCCAATTGTTGCAGAGATTGAAACTACTGAGCAGCTAGTCACATTTTCTGATTCTGAAGAACTTATTTGCAGCTTTGGCCCAGGCATGAACAAAACCAGGCAAGGAGCTGCTTTAATTTATGCCACTGTCAGACTCTCTCACGGTCTCTCTTCCACTGGAGTTCCTCTCTGCCACAACCTTTCATGCTCTGACTAGGGATTTCCCATGCAAAAATATACATATGTGCAATGCACAGATGGTTTGCATATGCGCAGTAGGTTTAACATAGCTGATTTACTGTGTATGCACAGACCATCTGTGCAGCACATGTGCAGCAGGTCTGATGTGTACTGGACACATTGGACTTACTGTGCATGTGCTACACAGTTAATCTGCACACACACAGTAGCCACAGCTCTGACTGAGTTGCCAGACATCCAGATGGCCAGAGTCCTTAAATCCCTTCCAGAGAAAAAATGAAGATGGAATAAGGATGTTTGGTTTTGTTTGGGTTTTTTTCTGGTGTATAACATAGCTTATCCTTTATTCTCAAATGTAGGAACATATTAAAGTGGATACTCCACCTCATCACATTTTAGTCTAAAAAAGAATTTCCCCCAGACAGAGAGCAATTCCCTCTGGTCATGCTTGTCCAAAAACAACTATAGAAAACAAAACAGAGCTGTGATAAAGATTTTTCTCTGTAAACTTTCACAGAACAAGCAAATCCATAACAAGTGAACTACACAAGCTTCTCTTAAAGAGGAGTGGAAGCCACTTCAGATTTTCTGACTAGAAAAAGCTTTACAGTCTGGAAATATTTAAATTATTCAGGTTAATGCTCAGAAAACTCAGCAACCCAGATCAATCACAAGTCACAGTCTCAGGAAGAGAATTAGTTGTATCGGGCCTTGCCTTTTGGGTGGTTGACATTCAGTGTCTTAGAGTGTACCTGCTGCTTGCTTTCCCATCACTAGGACTGTGAGCTAATAACACTATCACTAATGTTTTTGACAAATTCCCCATCAATAACTCTTCCCTAAAAGTATGATGCAAACTTAAACATGAAAATAACTTATTAGACCCACCAGTATTTTTGATAATTGCTAAGCACACTGGCAGTTCAAATGTATGGAGAATTTATTTACATTTACTTACTGGGGAGAAGTCTGAAAACACTTTGCATCTGGGACTAGCATCCAGCTTTCTTTTCATGACCTGAGAATGCACACAGGAGTCTGCTCCATTTCTTCTGCACTCTGGGGAAAGGCCTCTCTTGCCTTTATTTGCACGCTCAGGCTGTCAAACTCCCAAAAGTGGCAGCACAGAGGTGTTCCCAAATATTATCTTCAGCAGAAAATTTTGCTTACAAACACCAGGCTCAAATCACTCTCTCCAGGAAAAAACATAAATTAAGGGACTACTGAAAAATAAGACAGGAAACAGAAGTCTGAGGCCTTCAAATATTCAGTCATATTATGTGACCTAAACTACAAAAACATACAGCTTTTAGATTAACAAACAAAATCACATTGTTCTTTTTCTCATTGCATGTTTCTGCCTTGCAGACATCATCAACGTGTGCTTGTTGTGTTTTCAAGAGGAAAACATATCAGGTGCCTTACCCAGAGGCACCAGGTTGCGAGGTGCATCAAGGCTTTCTCTACTCCATTCTGAACCGTCCTACCCACACAGACCTTCCTTACCCCCCCTGAGCCTCTTAAATATGCCAGCCTGTCTCCAGGAACCCAAAGAGGACATAATGCCTGAATGAGGCCCGACAAGTGCTGAGCAGAGGGGATCACCCTTGAGCCTTCTGGCAATAAGAGAAAATAGAGAAGAGCCATCAGAACAAGCTCCTGTGTGGCACTGGGCCTGGCAGTGCCACGGCCCCAGGCTCCTATTCTTGCCATAGGCCCTGTAGACACCGATATGGATGGAGCCTGGGTGGGCACCTGGAGGTTTCATCACCCATGTGGCCACATCATGGCAGAGTTCACCAACCTGGGATTCACATACACAGTCCCTGAGATGACAGGTAAACCAGGAATAATGGAGGATGGGGCATGGGCAGAGTGAGAGGGGAACAGCTGGGGGATTACAGCACATCTGCTGCTTCCACTTAAAAAACTGTGTAAGTTCAACACATTGTAAAGAGCCAAACATCCCATCCCAGACAGCTGCTCTGCAAGAACTCAGTACTACATTCATCTCTGTGTCACTGTCAATGGTAAGCTCAGCTCCAGCACTGCACATCTGCAGATGTCCCAATATGAAGGCCAAGGTCACCCTGAGTACTGTTTCTCCAGCTCTTCTTCCGGGCAAGACAAGAACACCTTACTCATGGGGCACAAAACCTGTCCAAAACAAAATCTGTCCAGTGCTGCCTCAGCACTGTTTCCATAGAGCACAGCATCACTGACCTCATCTGTGAATGCAAGTAGGACACTTCTTTTGTAGATTAAAAAAACAAGTTCCGATATTCTCCTGCTTGAAAAACGACTGAACATCCAGTTTGTTAACCAAAACTCCATTTGCCTTTGTCCATCCCCTCCAACAGCAATTCTAAAAATATTTTTCCTATTCTTTATGTTCTCCTAATCTTTCTAATTCGCTTAGATCTCCATATAAATTTAGTTAAAACAATTCCCATGAACCACAGGCGTTTCAAAATGAAGAGAAGGGCACCTGAAGCCCTGGCAAGGAAGATGTCTGCTCGGGATTCGACTGAGAAGAGCCGCAGGCAACCGAAGTCCCCGAGCCCCCTCCTCAGCAGGAAAACAGGAACGGAAAACAAGGTGTAAAAGCTCGTGAATTGAGATAACGACGCGTGAAAGGGATTCGACTGGAGGCAATTAGTGTAATTTACTGCTATTTATCTAGATAGTGAGGAAATTAAACCCCACTACCACCGACCCATTGCTCCCTTTCGGCCGTCGGAGCTGCCCCCCACGGCTGCCGGCTCCCACGCGGGGCCCGCTCTGCCAAGCTCCGTCTCTGCAGCGCCTCGACACACCATGTTCCATCTCGGCACTGCCGGGACACAGATACCTGCATCTCGGGGCCGGCTGTGAGTGGCGGTCCCGGGACTTTGCCTTCTGGCTGCCCGCAGCCCGTCACACCCTGCCTTTCCCTCGGGTTAACCAGAGCCTGGGCGCTGCCGGCGGGGTGCTCGGGGCAGCCGCGGGTGTGTCCGAAGTGCAGCGCTGCCGTATTGCTCCTCTGGGGCTGGGCATGGGGCTGCCATGGAACTGGCTCGGTCTGGTGTCAGGCAGCCGCAGTTTGTCCTCACACAGAGCTGCTTGTGTCCCCATGTGCACAGAGACCCAGCACAGACCTTCCTAGTCCAGCGCTGCCTGAGAACAGGGCTTTTGTCAAATGGGTTGTGTCTGACTGAAGTGCTGGCCACAGAGCTGTGAGAGCCTCCTGCCGTGGAGAGCTCCAATTCCCACGCTATTCCCTAGCAATCAGGGACGAATCCTTTTGGCATCAACACTTAGCCAGAAGGGAGAAACAGCCTTCCCAAGGGCACAGTAGAGTCCCATCAATGGACACAATCAAGTTTGTGGTTGGCTGGGTGCTGGCTTGTGTCTTCCAGGCTGCCTTTCCCAAACGAGGGCTGAATGAGATCACCTTCCAAGGTCCCTTGCCACCTGGGCTGGTGCAGGATCCTATGATGATTGCATTTTTAGACCGGGAATAACGGTTCTTTCTCCTTAACTGTCAGTGTTCTGGGGACTTGCCTGTGGAAATGAGCCCCTGCCTGTGGCAAGAGGTGATGCAGGGTAGCTGTGTTTCTAGACACACCCTGGGCAGATGCCACTTGTGTGCACTGAAAAGGGGGATGCTGAGATGGGCTTTGTCCTTGGCGCCAGCATGGGCCATGGGGTAAGAGCGTGCAAGACAGGGCTGGAAAACTTCCACAGTGTTTTGCTCTGGTTAGGTGAAATGGTGTTGTTGGAGATGTCAGCCTGGCTCACATTGTTACCTCGCGGCTCTCCCCTTGTCCTCACACTGCCATGCTTTGAGGCATAGACGTGAGAGCCAGTGGTCTGCACCCAGGCACAACTAACTCCACCCTGCCACAAAGGAGGATCAGGAAAAACATCTCTGCAGGCTATCTGTCTTTAATCAGGATGTGTTTCAGGTATTAAAGAAGCTTTGTAGACAGAATGTCGAATTCCAAAACTGAAAGCAGGATCCCGGGTCTTGGTCACTGACAACTGGAAGGAGAAAGTGGGAAGAGATGAATATGGTGCCTTGTTCTCGAGAGCTGTCCTCAAGTAAAGGCTTTCCAGCATAATACATTGCGGGGCAGGTTACCTTACCTTTCCAGGACTGTATTCTGCTGGACCTGGACCTATACCCTTGTCAACAGGTTCGGTTTTTAGTCCCATTGTGTACTTGGGA